ATATCTATTTTATATATGTGACACTTCTAAACGTATTAGAATATGAGTATTGCGTAAAGCCACTTTTTTTCTCTCCTGAAGTGATTGAACTGCGGGCCAAGATTCAACTGTGTTACGCCATCCTTAATTTCTAGCAGCCTACATGTTAGGTTTATCATAAATTTTAAGGTTGCGTGCATGCAACGTGTACAATAGCAGCTTTTTTTTTGTCAGTACCATGCATGTTACTTTGTTCTGTCTACATGAGGTCTCAATCGCTGGCTATATATGTATTATAAACTTGTAACTGGCGTTTGTACGTTGTATTCAAATGGTTACGTACATTTGGTTGGTTTATGGGATTGGAGACTGTGCTTACTGTTAATCGATAGGAGCCCCAAGTCGTCGGTAGGGTTTGAGAGAAGATAAAAGAGAGATAGTTTGTGAGGTTGATCGATTGAGAAACGGGAAATGAGAAGGGAAGAACAGAAGGTAGCATTGTCGGTGCATGATATTCGAAGGCCTTGTTCGGAAATTTAAAATGTGATTTTAATTTTTTTTAATTTATTTATTTCAAAAAATAAGTAAATAATATTAAAAAATACATAAGTTAATAAAATAATTACAGAAGTAATAATTTCATCTATCATTGTTTAAAAAGTAACAACCTCCCTGTATTATTTGAAATAAAATCAACTATTAGTTCTTTCATCTTTGTGTTATTTTTCACACAAAAAATTACGAAGAGCTCCTTTTTTAGATTGAATTAAGTCCTCAATTATCTGAGATTTTTTTTTTTTTACGCTTGGAACAACTATGAGTATTTTGAATCAGATGATCTAGAGTTAATGCCACCGCGCAAGATGTTGATCCTGATGACGAGGATGTGTTGGGGGAAGGAAGACCATTGAGAAAGGTAACTCGACCTCCTAACAAAATACAATGATTATCATCTTGACGAAACACCACAATTTGGAGGTTTTAAGAATGCCAATGCTCGCAACAGATATTTGTTTGCTTGAATGTTGATCATCCGAGTCCAGCAAATAGGTTCTATGAAATGAGTGTTATAAACTTGTTAAATGAGCCAACGTTTTAATATGAAGCCATCAAAAGTGATGAATGGAACAGGACAGTAAACAATGATATATACTCACTTGAAGAGAACCAGATATGGGACATAATTCACTTCCCAAAGGGAAGAAACCAGTTGGAATTAAGTGGGCGTTCAAGCTCAAATTGAAACCAGATGGTTCGCTTGAAAGGCGCAAGACCAAACTTGTTGGCCTAAGGCTTCACACAAATCTATGGAACAGATTTCTTGGACTACACTTACTCTCTAGTGGCCAAGATCAATTTTGTCAAGGCATTCATAGCAGTAGCCAGCGTGAACAATCATAGTGGGAGAGAGGATAAACGACTTTAGCCTCAGGAGATCCCTTTGTCCGGTAATTAATATAATAAATTCATTAAGTATGCTTATGCAATGAATTGAACCGACCACAACTTAAAAGCGACATAAGGGTATTTTGCCACAGTACTAAGGACATCAAATGGTAGAGTGAAGTTATTAAATACAAACACCATAACTGTTGCAATCCCAACAAACCAAATAGATAGTATTATATTTTGACATAAACACTTTTTCGGGCAATCTCATCTCTACAATACATTTTTATTAGGATTCACATTCCATGATTCATAGTTGACAAAGTCACCCCTAATTAATAATATCCAACAAGTCTTTTATTTTCTTTATAGTTACCAAGCCTTGTGAGGAAACAGACGAATAGGAAGACCGTTAGCCGGCACACAAATAGGATTCACGATAATTTTTTCACCAGGGATCGACATCTCGAACTTGAATCGCTTTACCAAGTTGTGCATAAACACCAGAATTTCAAGGCGAGCATACTCTTTGCCAGGGCACATCTTGGGACCTCCTCCGAAAGGAACGAACGTGTATGGTTCTGGACCGTTGCCTTCGAATCTGCTGGGATCGAACTTCTCTGGTTTTGGAAAGTACTTTTCGTTTTTGTGAGTTGAAGGTACACTCCAATACAACTGCATTTATATACACATATCCCATTTATGTTAAACTACAGAGTGCAATATACGTGAAAACCCATGAAAAGGAAAGAAATAGTAAAACTACGTGTACCTTCCAACCCTTGGGGATGGAGAAGCCATTGAAAATGAAGTCTGTAGTGGCTTCCCTGAAGGAGCCTTGAACAGGAGGAGTGAGCCTCAGCACTTCACAAGCTACATTCCACGAGTACTTCATCTTCTTGATGTCCTCCCAGTTCAACAATTCCCCAGCTGATTTGCTTCTCGCGATCTCCATTTGTTCTGCGACAAAATAATGGAGCCACTTGATTTTCAGCTTAGGGACAATGAAGCCCAAATGAAGAATCGAACCAGAACTGATCGATGCTACTTATAACGGACAAGGAAGAAATCTGATCTACAAGCCCATGGTTGTCACTAGGGCTAGCTATTTGGTCCGGTACTGTTTGGTTTTACTCGAAACTGGACTGTATAACCTAGATCAGGACCGGATAGCAAACAATCCAATATAATATTCGGGCTTAGATTTGAGGTAAAAAAAAAATCGTTTGAGACTGGATCGAAAACCGGATAAGAGGCTCCCACACCCAAAACTTAACCAACTACTCACCCTTTGAGGCCTCAGGCCACTTAACAAGCTCAATCTAAAATCAAGACCAAATTGGGACTGGACCGGGTCAAGGCCGGACTGTATCCAATCCAATTTTTGGTCCTTATATTTCCGGAAAGACCGGACCGGATCAATTCGGGCCAATTCAACCGGACCGGACCATATAGCCACCCCTAGTTGTCACCGTCACAGAGTGTCGTGTCGCTGAGAAAATTGACGTATCTAGAAATATAATTTAGTGGGATCCTAACTAAATTAAATGTGATGTTTGTCTTCATGGTGAAATCATTGTCTTGTGAAGAGGGGGTCTATGGTTCAAAACTTACTAATTTCACCTTAAAAATTCATCATTTTTAAGGTAGACCATCGTAAACCCTAGTGTCTCCAAATACACGTAAGATTCCTGGGTGTGATTTTATAAAGTTTCTGGTGACTGAATGCACAAGATCAATTTGGTTCTTGTGAACAACTTGATGCACTATTTTCTTTCAGCGAAATACAGTAAATGGAAGGAAAATTTATAGACCGACGAAATGTTTTTTTTTTCTGTAATTGAATCTCCTTTTTAGTAAAAATTATTTACGTACGGAGAGTGATTAAGGCCCGTTTAGTATTGTTGCTTGTTTTTTGTTTCTGTTTTGCTTTATGAAATTTGGAAAACCAAGAAAAAAAATCGTGTTTAGTTGGGTTTTTATTTTCTGTTGTGAATCAGAGTTGCACAACAGGGCCCAAATATGAGAAACAACAATTTATTGCTTTGGATCTGATTCTCAAACATGTTGCACACGGGATTCCTACTGGTTGGGCACTTGATTTCATTAAACCAGACCAGTTTTTGAATCCCCACAGAAGTAATTTTTATTTTTATTTTTTGAACACAGCCCCCAACCCTACTTCAACTTATCAGCCCCCCCCCCCCCCCAAACCCTTCTCCCCCCAAACTCTTCTCAACAGAGGTCGGCCGCCACCCTTCTCAACAGAGGCGCCACCTCCGCCTCACCTCCACCGCGCCGCCCTCCGCCTCCGCGCCGACCCAGCCCGCCGCGCCCGACCCCTCCGCCACATCCGCCGCGCCGACCCAGACCTCCGCGCCGACCCAGCCCGCCGAGCAGCACGAAACCTCCGCCGCGCAGCCCGCCGACCCGCCGCCGACGTCCGCCCGTGCACCTCGCCGTCGTCGCCAGTCCCCCCTGCCGCCGCCGACCACTTCCCCTCCACAAAAGCCTCACTTCATCTCCCCCACAGCAGGTAACTTCAACTTCTTCAAAGTATTATGTTAATCTATACTTTCTGAATATGTTGATGAATTTAGTTCTTACAGTAGTAACTAAACGCGTTTTTGTTTCTTGTTGTCAGCTTTCATGATTTTTCAGATTTATCAACTAAGCAGGTTTGTGTTTTCTATTTTTTTCCTGTTGTGGTTGTACATCTGTTTACACAACACCACTGCAACCACAACAACAACAAAATGATACTAAACGGGGCCATAATTAAGGCGAAAGAAATGGAGGAGGGTGGATGAGGAGAAGTAAACGATGGTTAGTTGGGTTACTGATCTATGCATAACCTTGTTGATATAAAAATATACCATGTTGTTATAAAAATGTACTAGGATGGTATTTGATTGCGCGGCTCTTTATGCTAATTTAGTAAGAAGCATTAGTCTAGATAATAGTCAAAATATATTAAATATCATCTAACTACCTTTCTTCACCATCTATCACCATTTACTATTATAGTGACTGGTGCTATATTTGATCCCAATTTTCTAGAAATATATAAAATTTGGTAAATCATGATAAACACGTCGATTCTGTCCCAAAAAAAAATCAAAATTTGAGCTAAAGACGAAGGTGATAAAGGGTGGTAACTTGTAACAGGCACTTCATAAAGGTTAGTAGATAACAGTTGGTCCGGAAAAAAATTTGATGAAATATATAAATTTTATAAATCAAAATGAACTCGTTTCTTTTATTCAAAAATTTTAAAATATGAGCTAAAAGAGTTACAAGTCAATTAAAAAATAAAAAAATATAGAAAAATGGCAAAGGCTAATGTAATCCCGGGTGTACGCTTACCTTACCGTTTCTTTTATAAATCACAATGTCCTATACCCTAATCCCCCTAATGAGTGAACTCCAGTCCCCAATTCACTAACACAAGACACAATATCCATCTAATCTTGAAATGAAAATCAACGATTCTGATTTGTCGAATTGAATTTCATTTTAAAATTAAACGAATCTAATGGTTTGGGTCAGAAAATTAGTGACCATAGTTCACTTAACATTATAAAAAAAACAATTTAACCATTGCTCATGTCATACTCGACGGAGGCACAACGTCACACTAGTATGAACAAAAGAGGAGACGCACCTTGGTAAACTCGATCATAAACGTCAGGGAGCTCCGACAAGAACTTTACGACGAAAGTACACGTGGCGGCGGCGGTGTCGTGGCTGCCGACGAGAAGCCCCAGTATCTTGTCAGCAGTGTCTATCTCGCTCATGTGCTCCCCACCGTCGTCGGTCGCCGTCAGCATATACGACAATATATCCTGATGCGCTTTCATCTTATTACGATCACACCCCTCCTCCTCCGCCGCGGCGGCCGCCGCCAGCTCAGCTTTCCTCCGTCTAATAATCCCCACCAGATACTCCTCCCTTATAAACTTCGACGCCCTGATCGCCCTCCTGAACGGCGTCCAGGGCAGATCGAACGGCAGCGCGAAAATCCCGGACGCCACGTCATCGAACGGGACGCCGAGCTCCGCAATTCGCGCGGGATCGTCCAGGCTGACGAACAGCCGACACGCCACCCAGAACGTGTACTTCTTCGCCAGCGGGAGCACTTCCACCCGGTCGCGATCCTCCCACAGCGAGGCGAAGTGGCGGCGGGCCACCTCGTCCATTTCTCCGACGTACCTATACGTATTACGAGGAGTATTATGTGAGAAATGCAATCAGAAGTGCGATTCTATCTAGAAGCGGAAAAGAGGAAAAATCGCGAAGCGTAGAATCGAAGCGTAAAAGCGAAGTTTTTTTACGCATACTACTGTAAAATAACTAAAAATATATTAAGTACGACATATACTATATTAAAGTATGAGTGCGCATAATTTTGATAAGTTAATAAATACTTCCAATTCATGTCTAAAAGCATATCAGTTCATAGTATTTTAACAATAAGACACCTTTCCCCTGTATGCTAATGAGTTCGGGAACGGCCTAGCTGGTGAATTAGATTACTCTGCTAAATACGAGAATGCATCCGCAAGTACGTGGTATGTATCTTTTGATCTCAAATGTACATCATATTGTTGGCGTTTTACTTTTAAAATATACTTTTTTATAATTAATTTTATGAAAAAGAATACCCATTTAGTCAACTAAAAGCGTAAAGCGTTTTGGTAAACTAGAAGCGTAAGTTTTTAAGCTTTATAAAGCGATTTAGTCCGATTTTATACGCTAAAGATTTTATATGGAAACGAAAAACGTACGTTTTGGTGACATAGAAGCGTAAAATCGAATTTTTTTAAAGTTTTTAAAACGTGATTTTGACTGTATTGACTATGATTAGTGTTATGTAACTGAACATAATTATATTCCTTATCAGAGTCGTAGAAATCAGTACCTCTGGAGGGCTTCGGGCTTCATGAACTGCGGCAGGAACTTCCGGAACCGGCGGGACTCCTCGTGTATGGAGGTGGTCTCGCTGAAGGGGAAGATCTTGCTGACGGAGTCCGGCCACCACACGACCACGAGCTTGTTCTCGTTGGTGAAGAGGAACTTGTTGCCCTCCGCGCCGGCGAGGACGACGGTGGGCTCGCCGACGATGTGGGTCTTGAACGCGGAGGAGGAGAATTCTCGGATCCGGTCGGTGACGAACTTCTCCGGACGGCCGGTCCATCCGGTGGAGAGGAAGTCTAGGGTTTCGCCGAGGTATGGGATGCCCGGCCGGCCCGGCGGGAGGTTCGGGTGGTTGTAGTATTGGGATCTGTGCTTGTAGAAGATGGCTGAGAAGGTGAGGAAGACGGCGGAGATGAAGAGGAAGAGAAGGTTGAGGTACAAGTTGTTGTGATAGTATTGCTCCATGTTACGTTGTTTGTTTTTTTTTCCCCGTTATATTGTTGTTAACGGACAGTTTACCTTATATAGAAAAAAAATGTCCCAGGATTTCTATTTCGGCAATCGGCACCTGTCTTTGTCGGAATATTTTTGACATTACCAACTGGATTTTGTTGCGGTTAGGCTTGGAAGTTAAAGTCAGTCATCACGGACAAAAATGGCCGCCTCAATAGTATATGAATTTGGTGAATTAAATTTTTTATAATAGCTGGAGAATGACCTGCTCACTTGCTCTTAGGGGTGGCAGTTCGGTTATTTCGGTTATAACCGATTGGCCGATAATAGATTGGCCGGTTATCGGTTAACCGAAATAAACACCCCCTTACCCAAAATCGACCGAAATAGACTTCGGTTTCTTGATTACCTCGGTTATCGGTTAACCAAACCACTTTTAAGACCAAAAACCATTTTGGCCAGCTTCCGATAACCGACCAAAGTTCGGTTACCGGTTAGTGGATAACCGGCCGGTTATCGGTTTAACCGGTCGGTTAACCGATAACCCGTAACCGAACTGCCACCCATACTTGCTCTTGCAGAAAGTGACAATTGTGACTACTAGTGGGATGTACGTGCAAGTTATTTTTTTATTAAATTGATCTTTACGATAGAATTTAGAGATTTAGGGTAAGACATTAGAAGTTAAAGTATAGTATCATATTCAAAATTCATTTTAATTCATGGTCTAAATAGAGATATTTTGGATATTCCAAGTGAAATATCTCTATCTAAACCATGAATTAAATCGAGTTTAGGATTTAACACTATATTCTAACTTCTAATGGATAAATATCAGGGTTTAATTCTCTAAACTCAAATTTGAAGATCAATTTACTTAAAAAAATAACAATCTCACGACTCAGATTTGTCAAAGTACAACGAAATGCATCCAACGGTCAGAGCTCTTGGAGTTTGGTATAGGAAATAACTGGCTTACTCTTGGAGTATACCATATATGATAAGATCACGAGCTCGTGAAAGTTTAGGTTCTTTTTATCAAAGTCGGGCAGTCGCAATCTTTTTAGGATTTTTCAGAATTTTCTCTCAACAACTCGAAAAAGTGAAGGATAGGACGGATTGAAGTGCAATCTCACACCTAGGAGAAGGCTCTATCAGTATGAGGGTGAGGCACGACCACAATCAAGGTGACTAGTTGATTGATACGAAGCAAACACTCGGGAAATTGGAGTCCACCAATTCACAAGAGCAAATTGAAGAGTAAAAACTTAATGAACCAAAAAGGATTTTCTATTCAACATAATCACCCCTCAAACCAGAGTTTACAACCCTTTAAATAGGTTTGAAAAATAAAACTAATGAAAGTAAAACTAATGAAAGTACAGAAAAGAAAAGAATCATAAACGAAAAAGGTAACTAAAACTCGTCAGGGCCAAATCCCCTATCGTGCACCATCAAATCCCTTGTTGGGTATTAGCACCCTCATGACTGGGGGCCCTTCTAATCGCATTGCCCTATTGTGAACCTCAGTTCCCCTATAGCGATTTTAACCCACATGATCGGAGATTTTCCTAATCACCATACGATCTTTAGGCTGCTCGTTTGGTGTCCAGTAAGTTTCAATCTTCTCACCAAACGACTTCACGACCTTTAATTGGACTTATAATTTGATGTCGAACTCCAAACTTCCCTCCAATGCCTCCCAAACAAAATGAGTAAGCCTCCAAAGTAGGTACCACAAACTATTTCCCAGACTTAGCCAAATTTCCAGCTTCCTCTTCTAGGGGTGGGCAACGGGACGGGATTGGGTACCCGTCCCGTTTGAAACGGGTACCCAATCCCATTTGGAGAGGAAACTCCATCCCATTCCCAAACCCGTACGGGTTAACGGGTACCCATTACCCGTACGGGACGGATAACGGGTACCCGCGGGTACCCGTTATTATTTTAAAGAAAGAAAATTTAACCACAATAAATAAACTAAGCGGCTGTAGATGTGTATGATAATTAACCGAAAAACAGAATAATTTATTCAACGAAGCAAATTAACATAAGTAAACCAAAGCCAACTCCAAAGCAGAATTCTCGGCCCCATGACCATGAATTCCAGGAACTAATAAATTACACTCACCTACACAGCAGCTTTCATAGCTCTTTGCTAACCAAATAAGCCTACACGACTAAGGCCCAAACAAGCCCCAACAAGATGTTGGAGTTCTTTCATTCTGCTACTGGGTTGGTGAAGAAGCAACCTAGCAGATGGGTGAATCTTTCATTATAATTATCCATCTTCTCATTTCACTTCCTTGTAATGCATCCATGCTTGAGCCATTTATAAAGTAAAAGGTTCATATGCAACTATGTATTATTACATGGGAATAGATCACCGAAGGAAGAATATGTATTATTACTTTAAGGGTTAATTGCATGGTTGGTCACTAACATTACAAAAAGCGTTCATGTTTGGTCACTGAAAAAATTTAAATCCATTTGTGGTCACTAACTTTACAAAAAGCGTTCATGTATGGTCACTCTCCGTTAGCTGCCGTCCAACGCCGTTAACGGCCTCCGTTAAGTGATGACGTGGCTGACGGATTCGCCTAATCAGCACCTTTTGACCCTAAAATTGACCGCCACGTCATTTAAACCCGCCATGTCAGCTAAACCTAACCAAACCTCTACCCAAACCCGAACAGACCCAACCCACCCACTCATCTATGTTATTTATGTCGCTTTCTGGGCAGAAGAAACCTATCATCTTCCCAAAACCTTCGCAGCTCTGTTTTCTTCTCATCCCTTTCTCCTCTGCTCATCGGTTTCTCCTCTGCTAATGGCGACACCTTTCTGTCGTTGTGGATTGGCATCAGATCTCAAGACGAGCTGGACAGAGGCGAATCCAGGGAGGAGGTTCTACGGGTGCAGCAAGTATGGGGTAAGATTTCTGACTTTTCTGCTTTGATTTGTATACCATTCGACCATCCTCTCCTTCATCCCTCTCTGTTTTTGTGGTTGGATCTGTAGACAGATGGGGCATGTAATTTCTTCAGATGACATGACCCAGTAGTTGACGAGCATATGAAGTTTGTGCTGCTGAACTTTCATCGTCGGATTCGGGAACTCGAGAAGAGGCAAAATGGGCAAGGGTCCAAATCTAATGGCTGTCCAGTGTCCATCTTCATTGTGATTGCTCTTGTCTTTTCTTTCATCTGGATGGGATTGGGTACCCGTAATACCCAAACGGGTATGAACGGGTAACCCGCGGGTACCCATTGTAGAATTTCTTGTTCCCAAATCCCATCCCGTAAAAAAATTACGGGTATTTGGGTACCCGTAACCCTCAAAAAATGGGACGGGTATGCGTATACCCAAATACCCGTTTCCCGTTGCCCACCCCTATCCTCTTCCTTGGACTTGGTTTCTTCTTTGAACATCATTGGAAATTGTTATGGATCACAATCTAGGATCACATCAATATAAGACAATCATTATATACATATATGATGGCTTATATCGTACCTTAGGTAAAATCTAGGGTACGACATACCATTAGTAAGAAAACGGTATCTAGATCTTGAATTAACCGGATTTTTGGGCATGATATCATACCCTAATCCTTGATGAGTGGACCCTAGGTCTTAGTTATTTAAATCATAGAACCTAATCCCCAAAGATTGTTTAAGGGAGATTTAAGGGAGACTAGTGTTTTTCTGGCAGATCAAGTGGAGATTTGCATCTAGTAGATCCTTGTGTGGAGCAAAGTCTGCGATATAAGGTGTCTAACAAATCAAGATAATCCCTGAGGGGAGGACACAAAGTTTGCGGTCCTTGTCTTGAGGGGAGGATTATTATGGACAATCCAAGTACCACATCGTATATATAAGAGAAATGACCCTTGTATATTAGTATCCACCAAGCTCATTCGTACGAGTCCTTTTGGAAAGGAAAACAAAAGCAAATTCGTGAGGGCTTGACACAAAGTGGACAATATCGTACTAATGAAGCTATTTGATTTTGAAAAGTGGTAACAGAGGCCGGTTCAGTTTCTATTAAGAGCGGTAAATGTCAGTGGGTGGACACTCATTTTGTGACATTGGGATTTGAGATCCGCGTTTTCTAACGGATAAAAGGAGAAGTGCACTCGTTTGGCATAGCAAGTGAAGATCCACGTATATCTGGTGGATCAAGGAGATCTACGTCTAGTAAATCCTTATGGCAAAGAGCTTGTCGTATAAGGTGTCTGGCGGATCATGATAATCGTTGAAGGGAGGATACAAAGTCCGTGGTTCTTGTCTTGAATGGCGGATTGTTATTGGAAATCTTAGTACCAAATTGTACATTCAAGGGAAAGAATCCTCGTATATTAGTGTCAACCACGTTCATAAGTACGAGGCCTTTTGGGAAGGATACACAAAAGTAAATTCGTGCGAGATTGACCCGAAGCGGACAATATCTACTAATGGAGCGTCCGGTCTCGATAGTATATTATTATTTTATGTTCAAACGAACTTTGGATTTGATATAGAGAATCAAGAATTATAGTTGATTCATTAGAGATCAGAGTATAATATCATACCACAAACTTGGTTTAATTCATTGTATAGGTATAGTCGTATAGATATCTTGTTAGAATTTAGAAGTATCCAATTATCTATTGTCTATAAGTACACCGATATGATCCATAATTCCATAATCTTACCTTTTAAGTTCCGACTCCTTCATAAAATAGTACTTTCTTAAATGATTGGTTGACAATGTCACCATAAATCCAAATTAGCTAGTAGTAGCTAGGGCCTTGGGGGCATGTTGAACTTTCATATATGGAGCCAATTGGTATTATTAGTATATGAACTGTTGGTATAGCTTCAATTTGCTTGTCGGCTGGTGGACAACTGGATGTTTATATAAACCTTCTAATTAGTATATAATCTGGACACTTTAAAAAGGTTAAATTTATCTTTTATGTACCATATGTAACATAACTAGTGGACCACAAAATATATAATTAACAACAAGTGTTCGGTGTAGCGATACACTAACTCTTAAGTAGCACTTAATGATAAAAATTAATCTATTACACCCTTGCAAAAAAATTACGTAATAAATCATCGATTTTAAGACATGTATAAAGTAGGAAGGTGCACTATTAGGAAGGTAAAGGGATTTTTCGGGCATACCTGAAATCCGTGAGTAACGGACAACGGATGATGATGGATCTCGTGGTATCCCTCTCGTCCCCGCCCGAAACAAAACGACGTCGTTTTGAGCGCTCAATATATAAACTAATAATTGAGGGTTCAAAAAATCCTAATCCTTATTTCATCTTGTTGCGGCCGGCTGCTCCCCTTCCCTTTTCACTCTTCTTCTTCCCCTCTCTCTTCTGACCATCATTCTCCAGTCACTCCTCTCTCTTCTGATAGCCATTCTTCAGTCACTCCTCCACTCATCCTCTTCTTCCCCTCCTCCCTCTTCTGATAGCCATTCTTCAGTCACTCCTCCACTCTTCTCTCTTCCTCTTCCCCTCCTCCCTGTTCTCTTGCAATCCCAAAATCATGTTCACGTACCCAAAATTCAGCAACCCCAAAATCGCTCTCACATCTCTAATCGCGCCCGCTCCAAGCCTCCAATCACTACCCCCCCCCCCCCCTCTTCCGTGGGGATTCGTGAATTATCCGGATCCGTTTGCTTATAGGGACGGTAGACATAATCCGCACGTTTAACCTGTGCGGACGGAACGGAGAAATCCGTCAGTCTTGACGGGCAGGGACCAGGAGGTAGGTATCCGTCCCCGATCCGCCCGAAGCCATCCCTAAACAAGATATGCTGCAAATCATATAAATGGTTCCAACATTGCAGTCCAAGGGGGGAAATGGTTTTGAAAATATTACTAATATTTTTTTATAACTGAAAATATTACTAATATTAATTGCATCTTTAGAATTAAAAAATCATATTGATTATATTTTTTGGAATTTTAAATTCATAATAATTATTATTTATAATTAAAATCCTAGTGGGATAAATTTATTCCGGCCACCTTCTTCCGTTCACCTTCATTCTTCGTCAGATGTGAGATTTGAAACACTACAAATGGAATAAAAACAGTACTAGTGGAATACTAAGGTTGCCTTGCCATGAATCGAAAATGTCCAAGGATTTCTATTATGGCACCTGTCTTTCTTTGGAACATTTTTTAGATTACCAACCTGATTTTGTTGCGGTTAAGCTTGGAAAATGGAAGGTTAGCCATCCCGGACGAAAAAGGCCGACTATCTGAATTTGTGATTTGATTTTTATAATAGCTAGAGGACACCTAAGGGCAGCAGATCTCTTGTATAACTTACTGGATTGTTTGCTTCATAGATTTTGTGATGGATTTGGACATCCATCATGTACTTTGAGCAAAGTCCATTATTTGCTTGATTGAATTAGGAGAATCAAATATATAAAATCCATAAACTTTGAGGGACCAAATCCGTGGGTCCCATGAATTTGAAAGCTCCACTCTTATAATGTCGTATTTTATTTAAATATTAATGTGTATGTTATCTCTTGGATTCAACTATAAACATTTGAATGTTGATGCATTTAAGTATAATAATTTTATTATTTTATTTCTCATGTTGTACTTTATTTAAACAAGGACAATAAGGTAAATTGTATTTCATAATATCCAACAAGTTCTTATTTTTCTTTATAGTTCTAAGCCTCGTGAGGAAACAGACGAATAGGAAGTCCGTTAGCCGGCACACAAATAGGATTCACGATAATTTTTTCACCGGGGATCAACATCTCGAACTTGAATCGCTTCACCAAGTTGTGCATAAACACCAGAATTTCAAGGCGAGCATACTCTTTGCCAGGGCACATCTTGGGGCCTCCTCCGAAAGGAACGAACGTGTACGGTTCTGGACCGCTGCCTTCGAATCTGCTGGGATCGAATTTCTCCGGTTTCGGGAAGTACTTCTCGTTTTTGTGAGTTGAAGGTACACTCCAATACAACTGCATATAGATATATATACATATCCCATTTATGTTAAACTACATAATGCATACGTGAAACCCATGAGAAAGGAAAGAATCACGGACCTTCCAACCCTTGGGGATGGAGAAGCCATTGAAAATGAAGTCCGTAGTGGCTTTCCTGAACGAGCCTTGAACAGGAGGAGTGAGCCTCAGCACTTCACAAGCTACATTCCACGAGTACTTCATCTTCTTTATGTCCTCCCAGTTCAACAATTCCCCTGCTGATTTGCTTCTCGCTATCTCCATTTGTTCTGCAAAAAAAAAAAAGTGGAGCCACATGATTTTCAGCTTAGGGACAATCGAACCAGAACATGATCCTGCTTATAAATTGTACTAATACACAAGCAAGAAATCTTATTTACAAGCCCATGGTGGTAAATTTAGGCAATAAATAAGATTATACCATGTCCTTATAAAAATGTACAATGCTTGTAGAAATATGTGATGGTGCAAAATGATTGTAAAAATATAAAAAAATATATGATGTCCTCCCAGTTCAACCATTCTTTCATTTGCTAAGTGTGATGTTGCGATGCAACATCACACTTAGTAAATGAAAGAAAGAGGAGATGCACCTTGGTAAACTCGATCATAAACATCAGGGAGCTCCGACAAGAACTTGACGACGAAAGTACACGTGGCAGAGGCGGTGTCGTGGCTGCCGACGAGAAGCCCTAGTATCTTGTCAGCAATGTCTATGTCGCTCATATGCTCCCCGCCGTCGTCGGTCGCCGTCAGCATATACGACAATATATCCTGATGCGCTTTCATCTTATTACGATCACACTCCTCCGCCGCCGCCGCCAGCTCAGCTTTCCTCCGCCTAATAATCTCCATCAGATACTCCTCCCTTATAAACTTCGACGCCCTGATCGCCCTCCTGAACGGCGTGCCGGGAAAATCGTACGGAAGTGCGAAAATTCCGGACGCCACGTGGTCAAACGGGACGCCGAGCTCCGCAATTCGCGCAGGATCGTCCAAGCTGACGAACAAACGACACGCCACCCAGAACGTGTACTTCTTCGTCAGCGGGAGCACTTCCACCTCGTCGCGATCTTCCCACAACGAGGCGAAGTGGCGGCGCGCCACCTCGTCCATTTCTCCGACGTACCTATTATAGTATGTGTAGTCAATGGCACCGGATCCATAACACAGTAGAGTACTGGGCCGCATTTCATTAGAAAATTCGATATCATAAAAAAATATTATGATTATAGTTTTTTTTACAATGTCAATTGTACATGACGGTCTTTTAAGCACTAGACAAAGTTCTCTCCGTGGTAGTTGTTGAAACGAGAAGCATCAACACAAGACAAATCAAGGAAAAAATCCAAAAGTACCACTGTTTAAAAAAAAATTCCAAAAATACCACCCAACCCCAAAAAATTCCAAAAATACCACCCTTTTTCAAAAACCGCCACCCCACCCAGCGGTTTGGTCGAAAACCGGTTGTCGGGGGCGCGGTTTTGGACCAAACCGCGGGCCTAGGGGGCGGTTATAAAAAAAAAAAAAAATTTGCCGAAAACCGCCACCCCAACCAGCGGTTTGGTCCAAATTTTTTTTTTTTCGACCAACTCCTAACTTCGGTCGAAACTTCAAACGAACGTAACTTTGCACTCGGGTATCCGATCGTAGCGATTTGTTTTTTCATTTCGCATAACTTTTCAAGATCTACAACTTTTACTAGGATGAAATTTTCAAAACAGGAACTATATGTGGATATACGGGACCTTGAGAATAACTTTACCTTTACTTTTAAGAAATCCATGTACATTTTGAAATTATGATTATAATAAAAGTTGTAGATCTTGAAAAGTTATGCGGAATCAAAAAAAAGTTCATAACATTCGGAGTTTGGAGCACAAAGTTATGGCCGTCCAAAGTTTGACGAAAGGCGAGACCCGGCGGTTTGCGGCTTGCAAGTTATGGTCGCACAAAGTTTTGGACCAAACCGCTGGGTGGGGTGGCGGTTTTTGAAAAATGGTGGTATTTTTGGAATTTTTTGGGGTTGGGTGGTATTTTTGGAATTGTTTTTTTAAACAGTGGTACTTTTGGATTTTTTCCACAAATCAATTGACTAATCAACTTGCACTGTGTGTCCATCCGACCATCCCTATATCCACCATGCTGCTCTAGTAAAATTTTAAGGGAACAAACCTCATAGTTCTTTTAGTCTTTTACGCTTTTAGACTTTAGGATTTTTAGTTTTCATTGTTTTTTTAGACGAAAAACCTTTGGGGCTAGAATTTCTAGGATAAATTTAGAGTAGTGAATTGAATATGTTCATCTGAATCATTTTTCTAATTATGCAAAATCATATTATAAAATAACACTGGTCTGAATGACTAAAATCGACAAATTTATAAGGATTATTCTAACGCGGGATCCAGAAAAGGGTTGGGCCAGGGCCCGCCCGGGGTGGCCACCCCCTGGATCCGCTAATGTGTGTAGTACAAGTAGTATTATGTTATACTATAAGTACTGTTATATAATTGGACTAGTTATATTCATTATCAGTAAAAAAAAATCTGAATTTAATAATAATACGCAACAGTTTTTCACGATCGTACCTCTGGAGGGCTTCGGGCTTCATGAACTGCGGCAGGAACTTCCGGAACCGGCGGGACTCCTCGTGTATGGAGGTGGTCTCGCTGAAGGGGAAGATCTTGCTGACGGAGTCCGGCCACCACACGACGACGAGCTTGTTCTCGTTGGTGAAGAGGAACTTGTTGCCCTCCGCGCCGGTGAGGACGACGGTGGGCTTGCCGATGATGTGGGTCTTGAACGCGGAGGAGGAGAATTCTCGGATCCGGTCGGTGACGAACTTCTCCGGGCGGCCGATCCATCCGGTGGTGAGGAAGGCTAGGGTTTCGCCGAGGTAAGGGATGCCCGGCCGGCCCGGCGGGAGGTTGGGGTGGTTGTAGTATTGGGATTTGTGCTTGTAGAAGATGGCGAAGAAGGAGAGGGAGACGGCGGAGATGAAGAGTAAGAGAAGGTTGAGGTACAAGTTGGTGTGATAGTATTGCTCCATGTTACGTTGTTTGTTTTTTTCTCCCCTAGATTGTTGTTTACGGACAGTTTACTTTATAGGTAAGGCAATCAGCATGGATTGGAAATGTCGCAGGTTTGTTATTGGCGCCAGTACCTAGGATGGTAATTTCGATTTGACATATTTTATTCAATTTTTTCAAGTTTGTTTTAGGGCGGGTTCGATCCGTTTATAGGCGGGGCAGGACGAGCATGGATATTCTCGTCGATCTGATCTGTCCTGACCCGCTCTATTCTCAACCCTTTGTTGACTAAATTACATGTAATCTTAGTCAAATTACTTAGAATTTTCATTTTATTATTTCATATTTTAGCGATAATAAAGTTGTTAATTAGTGAAAACCTCAATTTCTCCAATAATTTAATAATATTTATAATATTATGGTTTGTTTCTTGATTTTATAATAAAAATCAACTTTGTCATTATAATTAATTTATTACTAACTTGTTGTGTATGTCTTCCTATATTATTGTTGTTTATGAAATAAATGTCTATTTTTTATCCAAACATTTTTCAGATTTTTTTATATTATCCAAACCTATCGAAATACTGAGAATTAGCCAAATTTTTAACTTTCAGTTTGCAATTTTGTTAGTAATATTGACTTGGCAACATGATACTGACTTGGAAGTGACACATGAAGGTCAACATTCCAAAATTTTAGTATTTTAACTAAGAAAAGAGTTTCGAATTATTAACGATAACATAAAAATGACTAATATTTTAATACATTACGAAAGATTTGGCTAATTAATAGCATTTTAATCTATTTGGATAATATAAAATTAAAATATCTGAAACGGGTTTGAATAAAAAATAGACATTACCCTTAACTTTATGATACAATTTCAAGTTTTACCTATACTATTTTGTATAAATCTATTAATGGTACAAACTAAAATTATACATTTATTTTATGATATAATTTTAATTTGTATTTTTAACATTATTGTATAATTTAGAGTGGTACTTTAAACACAAATATTTTAATGCATAGTAGAAGTACAACCAACATGTCTTTGTCGGAAATGTCAAAGGTTTGCTGTTGCGCCAGCGCCTGTCTTTGTCGGAATATTTTTGACATTACCAACCGGATTTTGTTACTCCGTCGCGTTTTGGTTAGGCTTGGAAGTTAAAGTCGGCCATCACGGACAAAAATGGCCGACTGAATAGTATCTGACTTCGTGAATTAAATTTTTACAATAGCTGGAGAATGACCGCTCACTTGCTCTTGCAGAGGGTGACAATTGCATGTGACGGCTGGTGGGATGTACATGCTTCAACAAATCAGAATTATCGAATGTTACTTTTGTTAAATTGATCTTATGACAGAATTTAGAGAATTAGGGTATGAGATTTATTCATTAAAAGTTAGGGTATTTATTCATTAAAAGTTAGGGTATAGTATCATATCCAAGATTTAATTATATTTATGGTTTACATAGGGATACTATGGGTATTTCTAGTGAAATATCTCTATCTAGATCATGAATTAAATTGAGTTTGGCGTTTAACACTATACTCTAACTTTTAATAGAGACATCTCAGAGTTTAATTATCCAAACTCAAATTGAAAGATCAATTTACTAAAAGATTACGATCGACGACTAAGATTTGTCAAATTACAACGAAATGCATCCAACGGTCACATCTATTGGAGTATGGTATAGGAAACAACTGGCTTACTCTTGGAGTATACCATATTAGCCAGTCTTCCCTTATATACATAGATGTATGGTAACGACTGGTGTTCTCTTGGAGTATGGCCTGGCAGTTGGATGTACTTTCTTGTATGTCGGTGAATCACAATTGTCTATGTTATGAGACAATCCAAGTACTCCAACAGATCATTATATATAAGTGTCCAACAAACTCATTAGTCCAAGGCTTTTTGGGGAGGATACCCAAAATTAAATTCGTACGGATTGGGCCCAAAGTGGACAATATCTTACTAATTGAGCATCTGATATCGACAAGTGGTATCGGAACATGGTACCGGTCCAAGGCAGTGGACTCCAATTTAGTGGACCCTCATTCGGTGACCTCAGGTTTTTATATTCGCGCCTTTTGGAGCAAGTGAGATCTATGGTTTTCTAATAGATCAAGTGGAGATCTACATATGATTGATCCTTGTGTCGAGCAAAGTCTACGATACTAGGTGTCTGACAAATCAAGATAATCCCTTAAGGGAGGATACAAAGCTCGTGGTCATGGTCTCAAGGGGAGGATTGTAATGGACAATCCAAGTATTGCATCGTATGTACAAGAGATAGGAACCTTCTACATCATTATCCACAAAGCTAATTAATACGAGGCCATTTGGGAAGGAACCCAAAAGTAAATTTGTGAGACCTTGACCCAAAGTAGACAATATTGCACTAATGGAGCTATTTGATTTTAACAAGTGGTATCAAAAGTTGGTTTGGATTCGATTAAGAGCGGTAGGCGCCAGTAGGGTGGACACTCAGATTGTGAGATCGAGATTTGAGATCCGCATTTTTCTAGCGGATCAAAGGATATGTGCGTCCGTTTTGGCAGATCAAGTGAAGATCTGCGTCTGTCTAGTGGATCAAGGAGATATACATATGGTAAGTCTTTGCGGCAAAGAGCATGTCGATATAAGGTGTCTGGCGGATCAAGGTAATCGCTGAGGGGTGGACACAAAGTTCATGGTCCTTGTCTTGAGGGGAAGATTATTAACAGTCTAAGTACCACATCATACATACAAGGAAAATAATCCTTGTATATTAGTGTCCACTATACTCATCAGCACGATATCTTTTGGAGAGGATACACGAAAGTAAATTCATGCGAATTTGGCGCAAAGCGTATCATGCGACAAACTTGATTTAATTCATGATATACAGTTATACACGTAGATATCTTATTAGAACTTAAAAGTATATAAATTATCTTATAGTATAGCAGTACAGCAATATCATCCATATATATATATATATATATATATATATATATATATATATATATATATATATATATATATATATATGGAGATGTATTGGAGTTGTATGAAGAGGAAGAGAACTAGAGAAGGTTGATGTACAAGTTATTGTGATAATAATTCTCCATCCTTTTTCCCTATATTGTTGTTTATGGACAGTTTACTTGATATAGTTAAGGCAACCAGTTGGTTCTCTGTGGGAAACACGATTTTTATATATTATTATTATAATCATTATTAGGATAATTCTTATTATGGTTAGTAGTCTTCTAGTAGAATTAGGTTTATTCTTAGTGTTTTATTGTATCTCCCTATATATATGTACTTTGGGTCATTCGTCGAATTAAGCAGAAATGAGTCCGGATCTGGTGACTAAGGGGGGGTGCTTAGTCACTTGGCTAAGCCCCCCTCAGCCCTTGGATCAATCTAATGGTGTAGATAATGGAAGGACTATTTTATTAATAAGAAGGGCAATTCTGGAATTAGAAAAAATTCAAAAAAAAAATTTTCTCCACCTTCTCTTCTGCGCTGCCAGCCACGGGATGAAGGCGACGATGGAAAAGAGGCGACCGGCGGCGACGATGGAGAGAGAGAAAGGAGACCTCGACCACGACGGCGACGGCGACAGCGACGGCGACGGCGACGGCGACGGCGACGATGGAAAGAGGGAAAGGAGATCGCGACGGAGGCGAAGGCGTTGAAGAGAGAGAAAATAGATCTGGTCTTCATCATCGGAAAACAGAGGAGAGAGAGGCAATGGCGGAGAGAGAGCGCCGGCGACAATGGAGGAGAGAGAGCGCCGGCGACAATGGAGGAGAGAGAGGCGGCGCGACGATGGAGAGAGAGAGAGAGGTTGCGATGGCAGTAGATTGAATCAGCGGCGGCAGCGGTGGAGAGAGAGTCGACGGCGGCGGCAGCGGTGGAGAGAGAGTCGTCTGAAGGAAGAACAGTGATTTGTATAGTTTGTATGTTTTGTAACATTAGTTTGTATTGTTAGTATTTTTGTACAAAATGTCAGTATGGTTTGTATGTTTTTCTTTGACAGTTTGTACTCTTATTATGTTTTTCTTTGACAGTTTGTACTCTTAGTATGTTTTTCTTTGACAGTATGGTTTGTATGTTTTTCTTTGACAGTTTGTACTCTTAGTATGTTTTTCTTTGACAGTTTGTACTCTTAGTATGTTTTTCTTTGACAGTTTGTATTCTTAGTATGTTTTGCTTGTATTCTTAGTATGTTTCGCTTTGTATTGTAAGTACTAATAATTTGTATACTTTATATGTATTGATTTGTGATGCAAAAAACATTACAAACATGGTTGACAAAAATGACAAACATGTGGACAAAAATAACAAACATTACAAACAATACAAAAGAAACCAACAAACATTACAAAATAACAAACATTACAAACATTGCAAACAAACATTACAAACAAACATTACAAACAGTACAAAGCATACTACACGTACAGAATATCACTACTTACAATACAGATTGGTAAACTTGTATTACAAACAAATGAATACAAAGTATACAAATCATAACATAAAAGTATACAAACATTACAAAATAACAAACATTACAAACATTACAAACAAATGAATACAAAGTATACAAATCATAACATAAAAGTATACAAACATTACAAAATAACAAACATTACAAACATTACAAACAAATGAATACAAAGTATACAAATCATAACATAAAAGTATACAAACATTACAAAATAACAAACATGACAAACAAACATTACAAACATTACAATGTATACAAAATAGTAATATAAACATTACAAACATCACGAACTCAATACTGTTGCCGGAAAATCATCCGCCACCGTCTCTCTCTCTCTCTCTGAATTGCCATGTCCAAACAATTCCTCTCTCTCTCTCTCTCTCTCTCTCTCTCTCTCTCTCTCTCTCTCTCTCTCTCTCTCTCTCTCTCTCTCTCTCTCTCTCTCTCTCTCTCTCTCTCTCTCTCTCTCTCTCTCTCTCTCTCTCTCTGCACCACACCCAA